AACTTCTCATACTTGTCTTGGCGAGTTTTAAAAACTCAACAATTTTGAAAGTTTATAAATGCTGATTAGTTCCTGATAAGACGTTCCTTTATCAATAACAGTTTAAAAAAATTAGTCATGATTTTTATGATACTTTGTTTGATGATAATATTTATGATAACGATTATCCTAGAATATTATCGGCATACAAAAAGAGGTTTACTTATAAAAATTCATTAAATTTTGGTCACAATTTTCAAAATTATATTGTCACCATTGTAAAAGTTGCTTAATGTTAATTATCATTGCAAATATGACGATTAATAACGCTCCATATATAAAATTTCAATTTGTTTTAACATTTTTAACTTTTAATTAATAAATAAATATAAATTATCTCAAAAATAGAAATTTCTGCAAGGTTTCTGAACGTTTTGTCATACTTTAGAAAAGATATATGTATGTGTGTATGTGTGTGTATAGTATGTATGTAAAACATATGTATGATTCAAAACACATTTCTCGTGTATTGTCAAAATTGATGAACAATTGATTACATTTATAGGGAGGAAGGTTCAGAGGTTTTGGAGGTTCAGAAAAAAGGTTAAATTAAACGCCATTTGGCTGTCCAAAATAGTCATTAAACAAATGGACATAAAATCATCATATATTTTATAGATACTTTAATAATTCACTAAAGTTCACTTACACAGTTCAAAAATGTGGTAGTCATTTTTGACATTATGAAATTCAATGAATTTCAAAATTTTCAATAATATTAAAAAAAATCAATTTATTTTTCAAAAAATACAAACAAATACAAACTTTTCAAAAAAATCTATTATTTAAAAAAAAATCAAAATTTCCAAAAAAAATCTGTTTTTTTTCAAAATTTTCAAAAAAATATGAATTTCATATGAACATTTTGATTTGTCTCAAGGCAAAATACCATTTACACCTAATTAACTTCCCGTCGGGTAATTTATAGTAATCGCAAGAAAATCCAAAATACACATTTTTATTTATTTTTACGTTTCACAGGTTTCTGAACATATTGGCATATCTTAAAAAATGGATGTATGTGTGTGTGTGCGTGTGGGTGTATATCTGCGGATACAATTTTTCGTCGACGTTTTCGAGAACACGGATCAACCAATTTCAATGATTCAAAAAAACATTCGATTTGTATTGATATGGAGACATGCTGATTAGTTTTTGGTAGAAGCAGGTTCAGCCGTTCCGGAGAGACGTGGTAAAAAGTGCCAAAAACTTTTCTTTCAGTTTTTAACAGAACGGAGCATCCGATATTAATAACATTTTACTTGTATTGACAAGATGAAGATATGATTAAAATTTTGGGAGAGCAGGTATAGCGGTTTCGGAGATCTAGTAAAAAAATAAAAAAGCTATTTGGCGGACAAAAATGATCATTAGACATACGCACATCAAATTATCAGATATTTGATAGAAATTTTAATAATGTGTATAAACTATGTTTACATTTCAATGGGTTCCGTAACATCTTTTATCCGTTAGACGGCGACGCGGCGCTAACGCGCTTCGAATATTTGTTTCTATGCAGCTAAAGCAGTGCGATTGTTTTGAAATACAGTTCAAAATATCCAAAATAAAAAAAATAAAATTTCAAAAGTCATTTGTTCAAAAAAAGTAAATTTTTTTCAAAAATTCAAAATATCCCAAAAATCCATTTTTTCCAAAGATTAATTTCCAAACATTAAAAAAAAGAATCTTTTTAAAATATAAATTTTATTACGGGAAGTCCCAACAATTTGTCTTAAGGCTACTATACACCACTAGTTCAACACTAATTTTTCTAAGAAAAAATGTCATTTTCACCTAATTTACCAATACTCATTTTATCCAGTTTTCAAAAAAATTAAACAAACCTACCGCAAGTCTCTGGTTTTATTTTGGATTTAAAACTTCAGTTTGTTTTTTTTTTCAATGCGAGTTCGAGCTTCACCTATATTTGTACCATCTATATTAAAACAACTCAATCCGGTTCAGATTTTCGAACCGCTACCTGCCGCTGCCGGCGCTGAACTACGTCGCTGCGTCGGTTGTGGGCGCGCAAACTTCACTGAAAAGCGGTCGGCGGCGCTTTTGCAAGCAAACACACAACGGCGGCAATACACACAGCACGGAAAAGCACGCTGCAATGGATTTAAGTTTAGCAAAGTAGATTACATCTTGCTCAGGAGCTCTGAAAATAATTCCGAACGAGCGAAAACTAATACAAACCCCATAGTTTTAGACCAATTTTGTTTATGTATTTTCATCATGGGTAAAAGGAAAGACGAAATAGTTATTGGTAACATATATTGAGCGGTTTATTATGGTCTGTCTAGGGTTTTGTTGACAGTACTTGATTATCAAATTTTTATGATTGAAATAGATAATTTGCCTCTTTATAATATTCTCTTTCTCGTATCAACAATAGTTTTTGATGATTATTAATAAACCTACTTCCATTTTATATGTTTTATACAGGGTGTCCCAGAACTCACCGTCAAGCTAAAACAAAGTGGCAGTATTGATAATTAGAAAAAAAAAATTCCATGCCGTTTGAAAATTATGAGCTTTGTCTAGAGCTTTTTTTAATTTTTATTAATTTTGTTAATTTAAATGTTGGATCCGTCACCTTGAATAACATTTCTAGGACCACTGCCAAAATTAATGTTTAATTGACCCAAATTATCTGAAAGTAAGTATATTTGTTGAACTAGGAATTTAAAATTTAAAAAAATGGTAGAAATTATTGGTAGTAATTTCTTAACAATATTGGCAAGTTCCATCAAAAGTTCCTACATTTAATTAGGGTTGTAAAATAGTAATTCTTGATAATAAATTTCATCATATAAATGATATAATAGCCTAACTAGTTGAGAGTGTCATTTAACCTTAAGGCAAGTTGCATAAACTTCCCGAAATGTGTAAGAATTGACTTAATCAATCGAAATTGAGATTCAGATATTTGGATGAAATTCAGAAATATAGTTATCGCTTTCAATTAAATTTAAACATTGCAATTTCGAATAGAATTAATAGTAATAATATTAATTATATAGCACAGAGACAGACTAAAATTGTAGCTTATTATTTTAAATTTTAATGAACTAATAATGTTTGAAACATCACATCATAAAAACTACTTTTGGCACTATAATGACTACATTATTTTCTTAAATTTTAATGATTTTTTACATTGAACTATTTGTCGTAGTCGTAGCATTTTAGTATGTTCTATAAGACTAATCTATTGCCAAAAAAGTTCATAAAAATCGACAAAAAATTTTTTTCAACAGTTAATTTCGAGAAAACGGCTCGGTTGATTGTTACCTAAACCAATATTTTTCGAAAAGTTTTTGATTTTTTCAAATCTATTCAGAATTGAGAGCTAAAACGTGACAAACAGATCATAATTTGAATTTTAATTACATTATTGTTTCCAAATATCATGTTTAATTAATATCATTTTTAATGCTGTTATAATAATAATTTATTATTCTATAAATGTGTATAATGGTTGACACTAATAAATGTGTGTCAAGTATGGTAATCACAAGTGTTACATATTACTAAAAAATATTATTCAAAATTGTTATATGATGTATTTATTTACAATTGAAATGCCATCCTGTGATAACAAAAAAGTTTAATTCAATCGCGTGTGAACTATACGCGCACTCTTTTTTTTATTGAATCGTCTATTTTTCATAAATATTAATCATTGAATATAACTGTTAATAATAATAATATTACTTAAATTTCGTACATTTTTATTCAACAAAGTATGCAAAAATTTGGTTAATATCAATATATAAAGATAATTTTTCTGATTTGATTTGAAATAATACCTAAAAATCTAAATGAAAGAAAAAGACTTGATATGTTTCCGCATTTTAGCTGTTCTCTTCTTTCGAATATAATTAATTCGCTCTTTTACTGAAATCTATCAGCAAAAAATATTGAAACACGATACTAAGCAACTCACAAATGACTTATTCCAATGAATCCGATTGATATAAATGGGCAAGTATATAAGAAACGAAAGAGGTTTATTCTACGAGAAAAGAATTATTATACGTCCGAAATGTCAAAAACAGAAAAACTGATTCTGCGTTCCGTTTGATTTAACAAAGACATTTATTACGGTCAGTCGAACAGAAAGAATAATGACATCTGAGAAAATTAACGAACAATGAAATTGTATTACCGAAATATTTGCTTATGTAGACAGATACGATTTAGGTAGAGAATTTAGCCTGAATGGCATCTGTCTTTGTCATTTAGTGAAATAATCTTGTTAATTTAATTGAAACGATAAACTGTATGAAGCCCTTTAGCACTAATTATTCAAAATTATATAGGGAAGATGAGCAATAATTTTCCAGACTTTTAGAATATGAGCTTCCAAAAATCAGACAGATTTTTTTTCAGCCTGTCAACTAAAAATGACAACATTCGTGATGCACTTACAATAATCATATCTCAAGGTAAGATCTTTGACGAGATAGTATATGGATGTTTTAAAACTCATAATCAACACCTTATACATGTTGCATTATCTCAAGTTTTAGTGTATTGTTTATTGAAACAAGGACCAGAAATGGAATAGGAATATGGTTCAAAAGACTCTCAAAAAAATACTAAATACTTAATAATTTCACCAACTTTCTATAGATTATTTAATACAGCGCATTTGTTGGGTCGTTTTGATCTACTACCGGAAATTATTTTTATCTCTATGTATTTTTCCTCGAAAAAAGAATCTTTCGCGACTGTGCATTGCATTTGAGCTGAGTCCGCTGTTTCAGTGAAGAAATTTTATTACGAGACTCGGAAGCTATATGGCACTTGTTTTATGCAAAACTTGGCGGCATTAGTACTGCGCGTTGGCGGTGGATAACGTGCACATACGACGAAAGATTAAAAATGCAACGCGTACAGCGTTTCGCCATCGCGAAGATTAACATTAGCATCTGCACCTCAACACTTACTTCTGCATAATAAATGACGAGAATAAAAAAGTGAGCAGCATTCCGAACATCCAACTCAACTCTGCGAGGTTCTGGTGTTTCCGCTTTTTGGTGGAGAAGATATTTAGGGTTTATGGCCATGGTGGAAGAGAAAAATGTTTCTATTCTCTTAGCATTAACTGACTAAGTAACTGTCATTGTTATTGAAATTATCGTAGGGTATTTGGGCACAAAGTTTCCACTTGATTCCAAGTAATTATACTGTCTAAACCAAATTAACTACTACATCAACATATAATACGAACAACTGCCTGACTATGGTCAGTCAGTACAACTCCCAGTTATGTCGTCATTGTAAAAGTGTGTTTGTTTTTTAATGTCTTTTAAAAATGCATCACCTGCTTCATTGTACTCTTTTTTACTCCATAAACGGAGTAAAATGGAGCAGCTAGAGAAAGAAAATATTGGTTATTTTTAATTTCAAAATGATTTTACGAAGTAACAGTTGCATTATTCAACCAATGCAAAATATAATAACAAACACAGTATAAAACTTTGATCTGCTATTTGTTCAGAATATTCATTGGATTCACTATTTATCTAATTTTTCTGTTGTTTCGTTTATGATGGCTAATAAGAATTACAAATTGCATATTTTTATAGATAATGAAGAACAAATTTATATTCAGATTTATTATTCTAAGCAAGAGATCCACTTTATAACGGACTTCTATGCAGTTTATTCATTGCTAGTGTTAATGAAATTAATCAAGATTGTTATATTACATCTGTCCACGGTCTGAACGAATACTATAGAATTTATTAATCAGCAATTACTTTATTTCTCTAATAAAGATTCAAATCCTAGATGCTAATTCCAATGACAAACCGATCATGTTGTATGACTTTAGTTGCATTATTATTTTCAAATGCTTGAAATATTATAAATATTTTGAATGCGATTATAAATTTATGATTTATTATTATATAAATATGTATAATGGTTGACACTAAAAAATGTATGAATCACAAGTGTTACCATATATGGTATGTTATGGTAATATGGATATGGTAATAATGTGGATAGGGTAATATGGATATGGTAATAATGTTTATCAGTAATATATTACTGATAAACATTATTCAAAATTGTTATATGATGTACTTATTTTTAACTTAAATGCCATCTCGTACAATAGCAAAAAAGTTTTATTTCAATCGAGTGTGAAACTTATGCGCACTTTTTTTGTTTATCAAAAATAATTCAGATTTTAATTTCAATTCTGGCTAAAGTTATAAAACTCACTTATATACTTTAAAAAATAATTTAAACTTTGTAATTCAGTTTATATAATTCTTATAAATATTAGACAATGTTACAGTTTTTATAGTAATCTATTTGAAAACATTTAATATTCCTCGATAATTACGTTACGTTTTGGGAAGTTTCAGCAATTTGCCTTAAGACACGATGCCACACACCACTAGTTATTTTAAATCAAGGATGAGCAACCCGCGGCCCGCGGGCCGCATGCGGCCCGCCAAGCGTTTCTAAACTAGACATTATTTTTCTAGATAATTTATCAAATACAGCTGTAAAGGCTAATTTTTTTGTCAGTTCAACAATATTGCAAGAAAAATTGAGAACTTGTCCGAGAACATAACAATAACGCATTTCCCAATTTAAAATAATTAAATAAGTAAATCTTATAAAGTCGCGACGGTGGAATTATGGTAAATTTAAAGAATTCCTGAAGAATTTAAAGCGTGTATATGACGATGTGCTTTTTAATACCAAAATTCGTTAGCTCATTAGTAATGCAATGTTTAAAGAAGTATATGACCCAAAATGGCAAACTACAATTGTTTTGGATATGAAAGAATAACTGTAGTGCTTTCGTGATTTAGGTAGTGAAGAATAATAGCTTCTGCAGAATCTTGGGTTTCACTTTCCATATTTAGAAAAAAGTGAACAAATTTTAATTGTGATTCCAAATGTTCAAAGCTAGCAGGACAGCTGTTTTCTTTGCCATTTAACATCGATGTAGGTATACTTTATGAAAACCACCACAGAAAGTGATCAGCATACAAAATTATACAGCTTAAAAAATGTATCTTTTCTGTAAACATCGAATTTTTTTATAAAACTCAGGTCAGCTCTGAGAAATCTTTGCTTTGAAAAAAAAAAAAAACAAAAATATGATAAATTATTATTTTGGAAGTACGTATGTGTGCAAATAATTACACAGGTCCACAAAAGAAAAGTCGCTGGGAAATAATTAATTCATTTAGAAAAATTTATAGATTATTATACCAGTTTTTAAATATTTTGCGTCTCAATTTTGGCTATAGATTTATCTTCAGCATTAAAAAGTACATGGGAAAACATATGTCACACACCCAATCCAGACAACTTTTTTGTGGATCCTTTCATAGATAAACAAGTATAATCCTTTGTTAATTTTTGTGGATCCTTGTTAATTTCAACCATAAAATTCATAAAAAATCCATCGATCTCATCTACTTTCCTCATTCAAAAAAATAAAATTATGAAAAACGGCTGATTTTAAGCATATATGAAAAAGCAGTGGCAAATTTCTCATTAAAGTTTTCAAGTAAATTAGTTTTGCGTTTAACTATTGTTTTATTTTGTATTAATATTTATATACACTTATAATATACACTCGTTATTATATTAAATATATACCTTTTCATTTTTGTATATTTGTTCTTTTCTTGTTGCAATTTTGTAATTTGTTGCTTTTACATTATTCCCGCGCTCAGTCAATGAATCTTTTTGACTTAATTTTAGTTCAGACTTTTGTGTTAATGAAAAATTTTAAATTTTATTCAAAAAAAAAAACAATTAATTTTCTTATGAGTTGTACAAACGTAACAATTTTTTAAAAATTTTATTCTTCAATTTTTTTTTAATGCGAAATGGAAAACTATATACAACTCCAAATTTCACTCTCTTCGATCGATCAATTAACAATGATCGTCTTTTTTGTGAACGTTTTTAATTGAAATTCGATCAAGATTTTTCTGAGCTTATAGAAAAGCTTAAATTTATCCGATTTATTCATTGCAAAATTTTAAAAACGATTCTTAGATATTGGCAACGAAATGGTTACCTCCGATAAAACTAACTGTTTTTTTTTGTTAACTGTTATCCTATTGTACAAATATTTCACGATGTGTATTTTAAAATTTGAATGTCTTGCAAAAATTTGTGTATTATAAATTTTGAATGTCTTGCAGAAGAAGCAAGTTTAGCAAAAAAAATTTAGAAACTCAATATTAAAATCTGAAGATAAAACTGTTTTTAAAAAATTTAGATTTTTATTTAAATTATTGAAATCTCACTCGTTTTGCTGAGCATAGCAGCATAACATAATACAAATATGGATGTTAGTATTTTAGCGTTGCAGTGGGTAAATTATCAATGTGTTTTTTGTGTTAGCTGCCCCTTTCATTTATATACTACATATTTGTACATTCAGAATTAGTTGGCCATTTTTTATACTAATGATTTTCTAAAAATATTTCCTGAGGCAAAACGTTCGCCGGGTCAGCTAGTATATATATTAAATCCGTGCGGCCCGCCATAAAATTTTAAAATTGAAATTGGCCCGTGGATGAAAAAGGTTGCTCGCCCTTGTTTAAATATAGTTACAATACTAGTATGGTGTATTTTAATATTTAAGTATTCACAAATAATAATAAGTTAAATATCAGGCTTTTGTTTCAAAGGATCGTATCAGTAAAAAAATATTCATTAATTTAACATTATGTAAAAATCTAGTACTTTGAGTACTATGCTGCCGGATTATAATTAGCTGGTGCAAAAATCCTCATCACCTATTATAAATAGCTACAACATAAAATCTGATACACTTATATTCATCGTAATAGCATATTTCATTTCCTAGTGCAGATTATACACCGCTGCCACCATAACCGTAGTAACATCGTACACCCTACTGTATCCTTTGGATCGCGTCCTTTTGAGTCCTGACATCTCCCGCTAACGATGCATTTATCCTTGGAGTCAAGTAGCTTCAGGCCGCTGTATTCAACATTTTCAACGAGGTCGTAATCTCATTACACGCAGCTTTGAAGTCGTTGAAATACTTTTGTAAAAAAAATAAACGAAATGAATAACACGGCGAAAACAAAAACATTAGTGCGCGGTCGGCGGTATTAAACAACGGCAGTCGGCTTCAAAACACTAATTACGCCAAATGCGCCGGTGGAGAGTTAGGACAAGGACAAAAAAAATAAGTTAGAACACAAATTAAAATGTTCTGGTAAAGGTTTTTTTCCAGGAGTTGTGAAGGATGTGATTGAGTGCGATACGGTAATTAAAGACTTAGAGAAAATGTAAGATGTAATAAAAATTTCAACTATGACAAATTCCAGAAACTGAGGTAAGAACGTATTTTTTTGTTTTCTTTATGCTTATCCAGACTTAGATAATGTATAATTAACTTTCCGAAGGAGTTTCTGTTTTCATAATAAAAACGATTCGCTTGTTATAGGTTTTTCGACGTTTCAAGCCATTCTGAATCGAATAAGACAAAATTCGGAAAAAGTATGTGTGTGTGTGGGTGTGTATGTGTATTTAAACAGATTTTTTGCCGTAATCGACGATTTCTCAAAATCGGCTGGGCCGATTTCAGAAATTTGGAAGCCACTAGTACGAAAATATACAGTCATCAGTAAACATTTTAAGCCAATAACTTGGAAATTAATTAGTATTAAAATAGCAAGTTGTAAATTATAAAATTTGCTTAATACTTTAAGTTAGATATATTTTAAAATCACATAAATACTAATTACCGACACCAATTCTGATAAATAATAAATGCACTAACGAAGTATTTTCTCCTATAAGCATATTTACATAACATTTTTAAAACCAACAAAAAAATCCTCAAAAGCTCTTTGCTGACAAGTCGTATGCATTCTGTGTAGTTATGCATATGGATGAGATCTTTAAAACGTAACTCTCATTAACACAAAACATAACAGAAATAAACTAGAATGAGAATATGTACTTCGTATAATATAATGACTACGTGCACGTTTTTATACCAAGTGATACCACCAACTACCATCCGGTACTGTGTACAAGAGGA